CCACCACTTGCGTTCCCCCACTTCCGCCCGGCGCCTGAGGCTCCGGGCGGCGCAGGGGAGTCTCGCTTCCGCGTCGGCGAGCGGCGTGGGCCTTGACGTCACCGCGCCCTGAACGTCAGGCGGACGTGCAGCGCGGTCGCCCGGGAGACCGGAAAAGCCGTTTCGCACCCGCCGGCGTCGAGATCTAGGTGAGAGACAATGGCGTCCGTCAGCGCTCGGAGGCCCCGGTCCCTGGGAGGCAGTTCCGGAGCGGAGGCGTGCTCGCAGCTGGGGAGAGGGCCCGGAAGCTGAGCCATGCCGCTCTGGGAAGCGATGGGGTCCCGCGCCGGGTCTCTGCGGCCTCCGCGTGGTCTCTGCGAGCCCGCCCGGCTCGGCCGCCGCCCCCGCCTCTCCTGAGTCTCCAGGAATGCGCGGTTCAGCCTCCTCACCCGCGCGCCCTCCTCCCCCTCTTCCGGCCACGGCAGGTCCGGAGGGAGCGGGGTTACAAAGGAACAGAGTTCAAATCCCTTGCTGCAGTTCGGTCTGGCCTTGCGGTTGGTTTCTGTTTGGAAAATCCCGCCGCCCGAGGACAGTCTTAGGACGTGAGCTCCTGCCTTCACCTGCCCCTGACCTAATCGCTGTGGGTGACTCACGCCAGGGGAGTAGTTCCTTACGTAAGGGCCTGAGAGCCGAACGTGAGTGAGTGACCCGACGTGACACTGCTGCGAGGAAGGCAGTTGGAAACGTACAGCCAAGGACATTCCTGCATTCTTTGTTTTCCTTGCGATCTTGGTAGAACACCTACGTGCTGCAGCCACTTATCACCGCACCTCTTGCCAAAAGGCAGCCTACACATGTGTAATGTGAAAGGATTAAGGGGACTTGATTAAAACCTACGAAATCATGTAAGAGTAAATTAAAAATGACCAAATTTCCCTGTTGCCAAAGGGGAAGGAGACCTCGTTTTCTGGAGAAACTTAGTATTTGTGAATGTTTCCTGTATCTCTTTAAGTATGCGAATCTTTGTAAAGTCCCAGGAATGCTTTTCTGGGCCGGGAATGTAAAAATGATGTTTAAAATGTAAACATCAAGGAAGATAGCGCCCTACCTTTTTCTCACTTTGGTAGCTTAGCCTAGGCTCCTTACTCTTAGTTGTAACTATCTGCTGTGTTACAGAGATTTGCATTCCTTAGGAGGAAGGCAGTTAGCTAACATAGCTGCTCCAATTACCTGGTGAATTTAAGATGAATTATAAAAGAATGTATAGCAATGGAGAAACTTGTCAGTGTGTGGATGCAGAATCAGCATCAGCAAAAAAAACAAAAAAAGTGTGTGTGTGTGTGTGTGTGTGTGTGTGTATATCAAACTGTTACGTCCTCCAACTTAAGGACAAGTTACCAATTTTCCTAAGAAGGTGTGTGTAATGGATTGTGTGTCTGGGTGTATAAAAAAGTAGGAATTTCTTTTTTCTTTGTAATCTCATTAGATACACTGATGTGCATTGAAGTCGAGTTAAATGCTTAGTTACTGACAAAACTGATTTGCTGCTTTATGGAGAGTTTTCTGGGTTGAATATTTTATTTTAAATTTTCCTTTAACAAGAACCTGCCAATTCCCATGGTAGAGTAAGGCCGTAAATTGGAATAGATTCACAGACAATGAAGATATTAAATAAAAACTGTGTAACTGGTGCTTTGATTGTACTATCACTCAGATCCATGCTGTCAAATAATTTTATGGGTGAAACTTTAAAAGGAGACTTCGTTGCTAATTTTAGAAAAAATTATATCCCCAATCAAATTGAAAATAATACTATTTTATTTTATTGATAGCAAATTCCACTGTTAAGTGGCAGAAATGAGAATAATAAGCCTCTGGATCCTTGCCATGTGACTAATAGTCTGCCAAATATCAGATTATATACTTGGCCATTTGGGCCTATGTTGACGTTGTTAACTTTACCCCAGTAGTTGACTTCAGTTACCTTTACCTCCACCCCACCACACACATCATGTTTTATGTGGGAAGACATAAAGCTCAATAGTTATTTGTTTTAAACGGTAATGTTTGGGCACAGTGGCTCAAGCCTATAATCCCAGCACTTTGGGAGAGGATTGCCTAGCCCAGGGGTTCAAGACCAGCCTGAGCAGCGTGGGGAAACCTCGTCTCTACAGTAAATCAAAAAATTAGCCAGGCATGGTGCATGTGCCTGTGGTTCCAGCTACTTGGAAGGCTGAGGAGGAAGAGTCACATGGGCTCAGCAGGTTGAGGCTGCAGTGGCCGTGAGCTTGCCACTGCACTCCTGCCGGGTGAGAGCGAGACTCGGACTCAAAAAATAAAAATAAAAATATAAAAAATAAACAGTACTGTTTAAACGAGGAGTATCTGTGCTAACACAAGAGATGAGGAATCCTCTCTTTTAACCAGTGGTTACGTGGTTTTCAAAAATAATGCCTGTTCAGGAGTTTTTGTCAACTGTGACTTTATGCCACCTTGCTGTGACTGGAGTCGCTCTCTTTGATAGAGTGCTATGCCCTTTGAGTCTCTTTTTGTCAATTTCCTGCCTGATCCAATGCCAACAACTTCAGGATGCCTTCACGAACTCCCTGTTCCCATCCAAAAGATAAAACGTTTTGCTGAGACATTATCTTGAACGGTTAGACTGCTCTTGTCTCTGACTCCTGGCCCTCAGGCCTTCCCTGCTCTGGAATTGTACCTGTATCATCTGACTCTGCTGCCTCCCTGCCTTCTGCCCCCAACTCTGTAGATATTTATAAACATTCCTCACACATGAAACGACTATCTGTTCTTTCTCCATATTTGGCAAGGATTAAAAAAAAAGAACCCAAAGGACACCTCCATTTATCCTTTATGGTTTTATGAAAGTAATGATAGAGTTTTATATTGAAATGTTTTTATTAGAAAAAAAAAATCTTAAGATATTTGCATAAAATTATATAAATACCCATCTTAGATAAAACTGGCACTTGGCTTCTGATGCTTTGATGACTTTTCTCCTGTTCAGTGCCTACTTACATTTAGTCTTGTAACTTTAAATTTTGATTTTGGTACTTAATTTAAACCAGCATTCTTGCCATAATTGCTTTTCTTATCTGCTGAAATAAAATACTATATTTAGACAATTTTTTCTAGCAGCTTTTCAGGGAAAAAAATGTTGATTTAAAAAAAATACTGAAATAAATGTCTATTTAAAATTTTACAGTTATTCTGTATTGCAAAACAAACAATGAGTAGTAATCACAAAAGAAATTACTATTGGAAGATAAAGTTCTAACAAAAGAGAAGATACCATTTCTAACTCAGCCGTCTCTCTTTATAGTTCTTTCCTGTTCTCTTGGCCTAATAACTAACTGGGAAATTCCCAGTTGTACCTTCTAGCATGGAGTTGATGAAACAAACAACTGTTGGAACAGTTATCACCATTCATTCCAAATACTCCTGATTTGAAAATCATCCTAATTTGTGTTTTCGTCACACTATTTCAATTCTGACTGTTACCATCAATGTTTTTAGATTGTTTTGCTTCAGAGCTCTCTCAGCCTATTTGGAAAATTATGGATCGGCACGTTCCCATGCATGCTTTACCTGAAGAAATCCAAAAGGTATGATGTTGTGTTATTACAGCCTAACAGTAGGAGCATTTAGCAGTTAGCAAATTCTAAAACCTCAGGGAATGAATTCAGAGGTTTGATATTTATTTTGGTCACAGGATCTGAATGAATTGTTGGAGCGGGAAAAGGAATGAGCAGAATTGTAGAATTCAATTATGTTTGAAGAATTTTGCTCCTATGAAATAAAACAGATTTTTAATTCCAGTACAGTGTTTGACCAGGTGGTTGTGGAGGCCTAGTGAGAAGAAGGGCCCATGTTTATAAGTTTTTGTGATGCTAGGTTTCCAAGTCTCTACATATTGTAGTTTAACCCATGTTAATTTCTGATACTTACTGTGTGCCAAGCACTGTTTTGAGCACTTACTGTGTGCCAAGCACTGTTGATCCTGGAACAATGGAGGTTTGGACTGTTTGGGTTCACTTGTATGTGGATTTTTTTTCAATAAATATATTGAAAAACTTTTTGGAGATTTGCAATTATTTGAAAAAGCTCATAGACAAACCAGGTAGAAATATCTAAATATCGAAAAATTCAGAAAAAGACAAATGCATATAATATATGTAGACATTAATCTGTTTTATTATTTATTACCATAAAATATCTACAAACCTATTATCAAAAGTTAAATTTATCAATACTTGCAAACATAAACACCTACAGATTGTACCTGGTACCATTTAAAGTCAAGAGAAATGTAAACAAATGTAAAGATGCAATAAAAATCATAGCTGTATAAAATTAACTGTAGTACATACTACTGTAATAATTTCATAGCCACCTCCTGTTGCTATCATAGTGAGCTCAAGTATTGCGACTTAAAATGCCATGTGAGGATAATCTCTGTGAGCAGATGATCTCTTGTAGTGATCTCTTGCAGTTCTTGTGTGTTTCTTCATAGTGTTTGGTACAATGCTGTAAGCCTTGATTTAACACTAGGGGACCCACAGGAAGTACCAGTAGTGATGCTGGAAATACTTTCAAGAAGCAGAGAAAAGTCATGACATTACAAGAAAAAGTTGAATTTCTTGATATTCACTGTAGATTGAGGCCTGCAGTTGTGGTTGCCCATCATTTCAAGATAAATGAATCTAGTGTAAAGACCATTATAAAATAAGTAAAGGAAACTTGTGATGCCATAGCTGCGGCTATGCCAGCAAACCCCAAATCCGTGTACTTTTTGTGATATAACTTTTTATCTCATATTGAACATGCAGTTTTATGTAGTTGCAGAATTGCTATAAGAAAGGCATACCTATAGATTCTAACATGATTTGAGAAAAAGTGAAGTCATTCCATGGAGTAGTGAGAGGTCTATAGTGTTGGGGGTGGAAGAGATTGGGAAGCTGGAAATGGAATAGGAAATCTAGGCTAGAGTCAGGTTTTGGAGGATTTCAGATACGTTGGATTTTAACTCGAAGAGCAAAAGAAACAAAACTGAAGTCATTATATGACAACTTAAAGCAAAAGGAAGGTGAAGGAATTGAAACTGGATAATTTAATGCCAGCAAAGGATGGTTTGATAATTTTTGACAGAAATTTGGCTTACAAAAAGTCAAAATAACAGGAGAAATAGCTTCTGCCAACTAAGAAGCAGCAGGCAAATTCCCAGATGCCGTTAAGAAACTCATTGAGGAGAAAGAATATCTGCCTGAACAGGTTTTTAATGCAGACAAAAGTGTTCTATTCTGGAAAAAAGTGCCACAAAGGACATTTATTAGTAAGGAAGAGAAGCAAACACTAGGATTTAAGACAGGAAGGGATAGATAAACTCAACTCTTTCGTGCTAATAGAGTCAGGTTTATGATCAGGGCTCCTGTTATCTATAAAGCTGACTCCTGAACCTTGAAGGAGAAAGATAAACACCAGCTGCCAGTCTTTTGGTTGTACAACGTGAAAGCAGGAGAACCATTTTTCTTGATGGGTTCTGCTAATACTTTGTTCTTGAAATCAGGAAATGCCTTGCCAGTAAGGAACTGCCTTTTAAAGTTCTTTTGATATTAGACAATGTCCCTGGCCACCCAGAACCCCATGAGCTCAACACTGAAAGTGTCAAAGTGGTCTACTTGTCTGGAAACACGACTCTAATTCAGCCTCTAGATCAGATGATCACAGTAACTTTTAAGGCTCATTGCACATGGTACACTCTAGAGAGGATTGTCAGTGCTGTGAAAGAGAACCCCAAAAACGAGAACATCCTGAAAGTCTGGAGGATTACACCATTGAGGATGCCATTATTATTATAGAAAAATCCATGAAAGCCATAAAGCCTGGAACGATAAATTTATGCTGGAGAAAACTGTCCAGATATTGTTCATGACTTCACAGGATTTCTGACAGAGCCAATCAAGGAAATCATGAAAGAGGTTGTGGATATGGCAAAAAAAAAAAAAAAAAAAGGGAGGTGGAGAGTTTCAAGATACAGATCTTGGAGAAATTAAGAAGCTAATAGACACTATACCAGAGGAAGTAAGAGAACAGAAGATGATCTAAGAAGATGCGCACTTCTCAACCAGTGCTGGACAGTGAGGAAGAAGCACTGCCAGAAAACAAACTGACATTAGGCAATTTGTCAGGAGGGTTCTGATCATTCAAGACTGCATTCTGTCTCTCTCTCTCTCTCTCTCTCTCTCTCTGGATTGGGAATTACCTGCTGCTTTGGATCAAATTTACTTCTGCTCCTGCCACTGATATAAAAAGAGTTAACTGTATTTAGCTTTATGTTTTATTTTTGTTTTATTTCCCTGAGTCACATGGGAACTGTTTTTTTCTACCCTGTCCTTCCCATGTTGAGCATTTCCCAAAGGCAAAGATTATTTCTTTTTTTGGCCATCTCTGAGAATAAGAACTAATCCTTCCCTCACCACTCACCACACTCAATCCAAATAGGAAGTCTTTAGGAATGGGAACAATATCTTTGAGTTCTCTTATAACTCAGGTGCAGTTAGTTACAGGAGTGAGATACCTAGGGACTGAAACATTCAGACAAGACTGCTTTTGACTTTTATGACATTGGCCCTTCTATGATATGGACACTGAAACAAAAACAAATGTTGGAAGAAGGGTTGGTACTGTATAGAAACATTTTTAGAGATGTGAAAAAGCAAAAAAGACAGAAATGACGGTGTATTTCCTCAATGCTACACATAGTGTGCCTGTCTCTGCTATCTTCCCTTCTCCCTCCCCGCCACACCTGACACAAGAGCCACTTCTCTTTCTCAGTCTGCTCCACATGAAGATGAAGATCTTTATGATGATCCACTTCCACTTAATGAATAGTAAATATATTTTCTCTTTTGATTTTCTTAATATTTTCTTTTTTCTAGCTTACTTTGTTGTAAGAATACAGTATATAATACATATAGCATATAAAATATGTGTTAATCAGCTGTTTATGTTATTGGTAGGGCTTCTGGTCAACAGTGTGCTATCAGTAAATAAGTTTTGGGGGAGTGAAAAGTTATACATGGATTTTTGAGTATGTGGGGGTTGATGCCCCACTGCCCACATTGTTCAGTGTTCAACTATGTATTAACTCATTTAATCAGGTTAACAAGTCTTCACAGTTTTTATGCTGTTCACCTCCCTGTTACTTCATATCTGTCCTCAGGCAAAAGCATTTCTTCCATGTTTTGTTTGACAATCCATATATTATTAATAGTATAATTTTAAAAATATCTCTGAAAATTATGGACTTAAATTGTGAGTGCAAACCTCAAATCTTAGCTATAGTTAATCATTCAGGTTTCTCAGTAAATCTACAGTCAACTCTTTTTTTTTTTTTTGAGTTGGAGTCTCACTCTGTTGCCCAGACTGGAGTGCAGTGGCCGCTCCCGGCCACCGCAGCCTCGCCTGCTGGGATCCGGCGATCCTTCCGCCTCAGCCTTCCGAGTAGCCGGAATTACAGGCATGCACTACCATGCCCGGCTGATTTTTTGATTTATTGTAGAGATGAGGTCTCGGTGCCCAGGCGGGTCTCGAACCCGCGGGCTCAGGCAATCCACTCACCTCAGCCTCCCAAAGGCGCAGGATTACAGGCTGAGCCACCGAGCCTGGCTACAGTCAACTCTTAATTAACCACTGGTCTGTTACATTTTGATTAGAAATTGCAGTCAACTCTCAGCTATGCTTTTTCCATTGTGTGTGTTGCTTTGGGCTACCTGTTAGCATTAATCATGCCATGATTTAACTTGATGCTTACTGCTGCTGCCTGTCCTTCAGATTTATGTGAACTGCAACCTAGCAGGAACTGGAAGGGAAGTCCAAATGCAGAAAAAAGCCCTTTTAAATCATTGCCTTCAATTCTCTTCACCTTTTAAGTTAGGTATAAAATAGTAAGCACAGAAAGGGACTTGGCTGTGCTTATGCTCACCTGAAAAATGATGCTTATATGTGTTTGAAGACACGGAATATCTTTCTCTTGCCCTGAACTGAGTTCCTTTTATGTACTAGCCTAGATGTTATAGAGATGAAAAGAAACAAAGCAAAACAAAAACAAATCTACAAGAAACAATAGCTGTGCTTCAGACCCTAATCACCTGTCTGGAAGAGAATATATAATGACATGAAAAAGAATCGTCTACAAGACAGTGTATAATTTAAGTGCTATATAAGATAGCATCTGCAGTGAGAATGGAGAAGGTGGGGAGAGGAATCCTTGCATATTGGGATGGTCGTTGGGGCAGCTTTATGTGGAAAGTAGAACTGGAGTTGGCTCTCCAGGGCCGAGTATTTCTATAGACAGTGGGTAAAGCATCCTAGGTCGCAGGGACAGAAGCTTTCTGGTGAGAGAGCTGGCCAAATTAGAGAATATTTAACAGCTTCAATGTTTTGAAAATATAAAATGCTGATTTATTTTGATAAGATTTTTTGTTTTGTTTTGTCTTTTACCTCTGGAGTTTGTGCTTTCGGGATATTCCCTCTGGGTTGATAAGGTTTTTATGAGAGTTGCAGAGTGTTTTCTCTCATGTTTAAGGTACTTTTGTAAAATGCG